ACTCTTGTCGTCCAGACTGGAGTACAGTGGCACACTCACAGCCACTGCAGCCTTGATCTGGTGGGGTCAGGCAATCCTTCTACCTCAGCCTTCCAAGTAGCTAGAACTATAGGCATGTGCTACCATTCCTGGCTTATTTTTTTATTTATTGTAGAGTCAAGGTCTCACCAGCTTGCCCAAGCAGGTCTTTTACCCCTGAACTCATGCAATCTTCTTGCCTTAGCCTCCCAAAGTGCTGGGATTACAGGTGTGAGCCACTGAGCCCACTAACTCTTCCCACTTTCTAAAGAAAAAGACTGAAAGAATCTCTTTTTCTGCTCTTCAAGTTCACATACAGAGATCACAAACTGAGCTGGTAGAGGGGCCCATGATGGCCTGTGCTAAGTACACCAGCAGGATTCAAGCCACAGTTTTCCTGACTCTCCACACCCATAGCCAAATCACTCAGCTTCTTTTGACTTTCTTTCTCCTATCTATAAACTGATAGCATGAGCAGATCCTGTCTCTCTAACTGACAATTTTTGAAGTTCTATCAAGTGTTTTGACCACCTGGAATGAATACTCCATAAATAACAGGCATGATGACCCTTCACTACAGTTAACATTTTAATAACAGCTACTACTTTTTGAGCATATATTGAATGTCAGGCACTGTGAACAATACAGAATCATGCCCAAGAACATAGACTCTTAATCTGGGTAGACTCAGATTGGAATCTTAACTTTAACACTTATTGGAGATGTGGATGGGCAAGATGAAAATCCTCACTAACTCCTGTGATCCTCATCTGTAAATGAGATACAATAACAGTACTTATCTTAAAGAGGTATTGGAACTATGGCATAATGCAGATGCTGTACTTTGACTGTGCCTGGCATACAGAAAGTCCTCAGTGATGGTGGTCGTTATTTTCATTGCGCAAGGCACTTGTGAGTGTGATCTCATTAAGTACTTAGAAAAATGTCTCTAGGGATTAGACAATGTTATCCCAGTTTTACAAATAAAAAAGGTGACTTGGCCAAGGATGTAAAACTAGTAGAAGAGACACTGTTCAACCTTGAAGTTGACTTCCTGGTCATAAACCTCCATGAATTACCCATGGATTTTAAATAAGGGGGAGTCTTTGTAAGAACTAATGAAGTCTTATAATTTAAGTCAGCAACTAAAGCATAAAGAGAAATGGCAGTCTACTATACAGATTAAGGCAGAATTTTTGAAGTCAGCTATATAGATTGAAATACTGGTTTTACCATTTAACTTTTGGGTGATCAAGGTTACATAGATAGTTATTTATTTTATTAACATTTCAGGTTCCTCATCAAAGGGATAGTATCTCCCTTAAGATTTGGCATGAGGATGAAATGTGATAATGTATGTAAATCAAAATTTAGAACAATGTCAAACATATAGTAACTACTCAAAATAAACATTAGCAAAACAGCAGCAAAAATAAGGCTAAACCCAATGTGCTTCTAGATTGAAATCCTTTAAATGCTGTTGTAACAATAATATTAATAGTCACCTTTACTGTGTACTCACTTTGTCCCAACCTGGATATTAGGTGCTATTTATATATTTCCCCCACTCTTACCAATAACTCTGTGAGACTGGTATGATCAGTTCTTTTTCACAGATAAGGAAACTGAAGCTCAGAGACATAAAGGTAAAATTCCAGGAAGCAGGAAGCTAGAGAGACTGAGTCTAGGGCCAATTCTGCTTTATTTTCTGCATTGTGCCACCTGCATAGCTGAGGACGACATGCAACGGCTCAGAGTAGCTGAAGCTGGGGCAGAGGACAAGACAAAATGACCATCCATCTTCTTTTTCTGGACTGGGTACACTGAGTACCTCCTCACTGCATCACCCTTTGGGATATTAATATTCAGATGATCCAACCTTTGGGACGAGGTGGATGTTCAATTCAGGCCTTAACAAGCCTACAGAGCATGCTGGTTCCACACCAGTAGTCATGGATTGTAGCAGGTTCCAGTGACTGAGCGAGAGGTGCTTTCCCTGCATGGGTGGGCAGGATATTTATGCTGAGAGAAGAGGATGGAGAGCATGGACCTTAGCTTCCAGATTTCTTTGAGATTTGCCTGGAAGATTGGGGTCTTCTCACAAAGATAAAAACAGCAGAGTCAGAGCCACAGTATCATGAATATCTAAACACAAGTACAGAGTCTTGGGAAAAGCCTGGTCCAGAACTGCCCTTTTGTTAGCCATGTAGCCTTAGGCAAGTCAGTTAAGTGAATCACAGATTTCTCATCTGTGAAACTGAGAGACAGATTCTAGTCATCTTGAATGCAAACACTCTTTTTGTTCTTGCTGAATTGTTTGTGACCAGAAAACAGGGACAGACTTTGAGCCACAGAGAAGCCTGGCCTCCAGTCCTGCTGACAGACTGAAGGATCCCAGGTAAGTCTTATCCTCTCTTGGACCTCAGTTTTTCCAACTATGGAATGGAAGCGTATATTAATCAGCACATCTTGAACTTTTCAACAAAAGTGTCCCTAATAATAAAAGTAAGTGCTCTTATGTGCCATGCTCCTTTTATCCAAAGTCTTGGTGTAGCTACATGATAAGTATTAGCAAAACCCTCATTTTATAGATGACAAAAACAAGGCAAGGGGAGTTAAATACTTTGCCCAAGATCATTCAGAGAGTTAAGTGTCAGAGGAAGACTTAACACCCAGGGCCTGTGAGTCTATGCTTATAACCTTGTCTCCCCTCCTCTGGAGGCTGGGCAGTGTTCTGGGTAGTATGTCTCACCTCTGAGAAGCTGGACTTTCATCAATGGATACCTTGGAGTTCAGAGTCTTCTGGGCATGACGGTACCCTGAGAATAGAGCAGGGACAGTGAAGATCCAGCTTACAGAGTTTTGAATGGGGAAAAGAACTAGTGGACCACAAGGTGGTAGCCTTGGGCCACTTTGGTCTGTGGGCAGGAAGGGTCTGGAGTTTGCCAATTTCCACATTCTCTACTCTACCAGACAAATTTCAAACCACGGGGAATTTTAGCAACGTCTAGGTCTTAGTGAGTTTTTCTTTCCAAGTTGAACTCACTGAGCAAAAGGGAAAGGGGAGGAACGCCTACAGTCCTGGGGAGAAAGTCTGATTTAGTGAAACTAACACTGGGCCTGGAGGCTGAAAAGGCACATTGAAGCCTCATCTATAATTCAGATAATACTATCTAGGCTACTGGGTTATAGGAAGGAGGTATATAAGTAAGTACTGCACTGAAACATAGAATATCTTGCTAAATAAATACTTGTCTAAACTGAGTTTCACTTGCAAATACTAAAGGAAGACGAGCAGTCCCCAGAAGGAATTCAACAAGCGCCCTGAGATGATGCTTACAAATTTGTACCCCAAAATTAGCATGCAGGCATCCACTTGCTTGGTGTGTGGCTGCATCATTTACTAAATATACATATAGAAAAAGTCTATCACACCCATTCCATGAATAACACAAAGGCCTTGATTTGTTCCTCCATGTGATAAGCATGCGTAAGTTCCAAAATTAACAATGCTGCCTGGTTGGGGTGTGTATGTGTGTGTGTGTATGTTTCCAAAGAGAGAAAACTTCTAATATATCACTCAGACCTAATCAGAATGTCTGATACACAAGTGCTAGTTGAAGAGGAACAAGGAAAATGGACAAAAACCAAAGGTCTGCTAGGTGTATTCCACTGTGAAGTCTCAACAAATACTGATGAGTGCTTAATGGAAGGAAGAAATGAGGGGTCAGGGATAGCCCTGCTTTGTTGAGTGGTCTTATGCCAATCACTTTACCTTTCTGGCCATATCTTCCTCATATACATTGGAGATACCATTTTTTTAAGCTCTGGCATCTGGCAGAGCTGTGCTAAAGAAGAAAAGGTGATGTGAATGTAAGAATGGTGTATTGAGGAGTGTAGAGCACCAGGGAGATGTCAAGTGTTGCTATTATCAAATCTTTCCCTAAGCCCATTAGACGCAGCACTTTCTACACCTTGGATCTGTTCTTGATTTTTTTTTCTGTCTACTATACAAGTCATTAATTACAGCTGTTTAAAGAAATCATTCATGTGAGCCCACATACTTTATAGACTATCACTCAAGTGATTTCACCCCTAGTAACCTTCTCAGCAAAGGCAGTAGACTTAAAGAGTTCTAGATGATAGTGCTAACAGAGCTGGACATCTACATTCCTTCTCTGTGCTCATAACTTCACCTATAATGTAGAGGTAACATGCCAGACCTCACTCATTCTTGGTCAGAACACAATGAAACAATCTCTGCAAATATGCCCAGTACTGTTCTTGATAGATATTTGAGAAATTCTTGAACTGAGAGAAAACAAGGGTATACAGGACATAGTTCGGGTTTGATAGCCAGATATTAACACAGATTTGTGTTCAAATGTCCAAGAGCAGCTCCATCTCTTACCAATTATATAATCCTAGGTAAGTTTCTTTGCCCCTCTGCCACAATAGTCACAACTATAAGGTAAGGAAAATGAAGCATCTTCTGTGGGCTACTACACTGGCTATGTCCAGCCTGGCTCCAGGGGCCACCATGGAATTGTGAAGGCTAAAGCATTTGAAACATCAAGGGCACTTGGGAAAGGGCAGCACATTCCAGTTTTCTTCCAATTTTGTTTGTTCAGTCACTCTTGGAACGGCCAGTTGTATTTTGAAGCACTGAACCTCAGCCGTCAGCAAAGCAGGCCAAGCACGTGACAGATGTTAAACAGCTATTCCCAGAGATGTCAGCCAAAAGGCCAAGGAGTTGGAGACCCTTTATTTTCTTCTCTGGAGCACAATTAGTTTGTCACAGCTGACAGATGATAGATGGGTATGCATCAGTCCAAGTGACACCACAGAATCCATCTGATTTTCTGGTTTTCATTCTAACCTCTTGCACTTGGCGCTTTCCCTCCATCTGCGGACACTCCCCCACCTCCCTCCCTCTCTCCACCTCACATTTCCCCACCCAACCCTCGCCACTTCCCACTCACCATCACAGAAATGTGGAGGATGTGCATCTGCTCCTCGACAATCTCTGAGGGCTCCTGGAGCGTGGGGGCAGTGGCCCGGGCCAGCTGCCCAGAGCTGCTCATGGAGACGTGGAAGTACAAGGTGCCATTCTCCAGCCACTGCTGTCTCCAGTGCACCAGCGAGATGTCCGCCGCTGTGCCAGACATCTCTGTAAGACAAGATGCAAGGCGCTGGGTGAACTGCATGGCTGATCTCAGTGCTCCAGGGAGAAAAGAAGCCACATATAATCAAAAGGCATCTACTTTGTGCCAGGATGCTTTCCCTCACATCAAGTCTATGAGCCAGCGATCATCATTCCCATTTATAGATGGGTTGACTGTGGCCAAGATCCACCCCATATAACAGACTGGTAGAGGAAGGGTTTGAACCCAGGTCTGCCTAGGGCCTCTTTTATACACGATGTATGAAAAGGTAATTCATTCTACTTCAATAGTGGAATGAAACTAAGGGCAAAAGTACTATGGAGGTTATGAAGCTACAAGATGATGGGGGGAAAACATTCGTGAGAGGAGTAGGAGTTTGGAGTGCAGATTCTTTAGAAACTGAGTTGGAAGCACTCACAGCAGAACCTCAGAGTCAGAAAGGCCCAGGAGAATAGTGGCTCAATTTAGGTACCTCAGGGTCATCTTGCACAGGAAAAGAACTTGAGAAGAAGACTGTCCTAAATCTGTTCCTTCTGCTTCTGTGAGAGCAACTCCATTTTTGTAGGGTATATACAAAAGCAAGGGAATGTTGCCTCGAAAGTTTCTATGGCGTAAAAATGCTTAAAATGCCACTGTCCCATCCCAATGTTCTCACATAAGCAGTAGGAAGTCAGGATTTTCTAGTGAACTGTAGTCAAGTCTCCTGACTTGAAGTTTCTAACTCTTGTCCTGATTCTGTTTTTCTCTCTGTAAATACTTTTTAAAAAATAATAATCACTTGAATAATGTATATTCAATATTATCATATCAACATAGTCTCTTTTTAAAAAATTTTTTATTTTTAAGGATGTGGGGTATAATGCAGGGTTAGATATACAAATATTCATTATACAGGTACGCTTATTGATGAGCTGTGGCCCCTTCCCTCCCCCAGCAGATTCCCACTACTGCCACATAGTCTCTTATTAGATTAAAACAGGTTACAGCATAAGGTACCAAAAATATCATTACACAGGGATTATACCTTTCCAATGTACCCTCTTTCTACTAAATGGGTGTGTCCCTGGAAATGTTCTAGAAGGACAAGGCCTATCCGTGCATTTTAGGAATAAAAGGGAGGAATGGTGAAGTTTGTGGAGAATTATTAAGTCTGCACTTGTATGAGATTTACTATAAGAGACAAGTAGCCTTCATAGTGTGCATCAGTAGCCTTTTAATGTCTGAGGCTTGGAACTTTGTCCCTGTTCCTGAGACACACAGATAACCTTGAGACAGTATTCTTATGGTCCCTAAAGACTTCAAATACATTCATATATACACATCCGAGGAGAACTGATGGATAAGCTGGGTAAGAACATCTCTTTATTCAATCAGCTCTCTCCATGTCCCACTTTAGCCCCCATCAAAATATAGTGACATTACATGAAAAACAGTCACTTTAAAGGAATAAGGAGATAATATCTGTTCAACAAATTCTATTGAATTATTCTTATGTCATCTAGTCCCAATAGAATCTGACTCTTGAAGGTTCATAGAAAAAAAATTCTGAAGAGATGACATCCCTTGAGTCCAGGAGTTCAGAGAAAATATTATATATCTCCATTAAAAAGTGGACAAAGGACATTAGCAGGCACTTCTCAAAGGAAGACATACAAGCAGCCAAAAAACATGAAAAAATGCTTAACATCACTAATCATCAGAGAAATGCAAATAAAAACCACAATGAGATACCATCTTACACAGGTCAGAATAACTTTTATTGAAAAGTCAAAAAACAACAAATGTTGGCGAAGATGCAGAGAAAAGAGAATGTTCCTACATTGTCAGTGGGAATGTAAACTATTTCAACCTTCGTGGAAAGCAGGATTTGGAGAGTTCTCCAAGAACTAAAAACAGATTTACCATTTGACCCAGCAATCTTACTACTGGGTATATAGAGTAACATAAGTTACTCTATCAAAAAGACACCTGCACTTGCATGTTTATCGTAGCACTATCCACAAAAACAAAAGCATGGGACCAACTTAGGTGCCCATCAACAAAGAACAGGATAAAGACAATATGGTACATATATACCATCAAATACTACACAGTCATAAAAAAGGACAAAATCATGACCTTTGAAGCAACATGGATGCACTATAGACCTGAGCGAATTATCACAGAAACAGAAAAGTGAATGCCACGGAGTCTCCCTATTAAGTGGGAATTAAACACTGAATACACATGGGCACAAGGATGGGAACAACAGACACCGGGGAACTCTTAAAGGGGGGAAGGGAAGGAGTAAGGGTCAAAAACTACCCACTGGGTACCATGTCTACCACCTGGGGAATGGGCTCAGTAGAGGCCCAAACCTTACCATCACACAAGCTACCTATGTAACAAACCTGTACTTTTACCCCTTGAATCAAAAAAATATGTATTAACAATTTAAAAAGAAACTTAAAAAAATAAGAAGTGTCTGAAACTTACTAAGTGCTATAAAAGTAAGCTATGAATTTTTAAGTTGGTTATTGATTTATTATCATCATGATTATTAATAGGGATAAAATCTAATTCACTCTTCAGCTGCTCTGAAAAAAATTTAAAAAATAACAAACTCAAACCCCGAGTCATCCTTGATGGCTTACATTCTTTCCCATTCCTCATTCAGTTTATCGGGAAATTCTTCCAAAGCCGTTCAAAATTTAACCCTTCTCAGCACCTCTATTTCAGCCACCTGGGCCAAAGCGCCATGACCTCTTGCCTGGCTTACTGCAAGGGCTTCTTAAATTGGCTCTCTTCTTCCACCCCTGCCTCTTCTGTCTAGTCTCAGCCAGGAGCCAGAGGAACCCTGCCACAGCAAAAATCATCTCACATCACTACACCCTCCACTCGCAGTCTTCTCATGGTCTCTAACTTATCCCAAATAAAAAGAAAAAGCAGTGAGAACATACTAAGTTATTAGTCCAAGTGAACACGTGCTTGGGCTTCTCTTGCTGCTCAAGGAGTTGGACAATGCTGGAGATAATCACAGAGATTGTCATTTCTTGAAGTAGGAGCACCAAAGGATCCTTGAAACCCATTGTGGTGCCCAGGGTGGGGGCACTGACCGAGTGGCCAGTCTGTGAAGGAGAGCTCTTCCCAGCATCTTCTCTTCCTGCCAGGCTGGGGTTATCTGCTCCCCACACCACCCACCTCCCAACCTCAGTACTCAAGTCTTTGGCAGTAGCTTCTCTGTCAACCAGCCAGCTGCGCCAAGGCAAGGTGAAGACACTATAGTACATGACCCAGCTCAGCACCTCTCTCATTTTTCTCTCTGCACATCCAAGCCCCAAACCAAAGGCCCAGAAAATCCCAGGCTGAGAGCTGTCACTAGAAATAGTGGTGTCTAATGCATCAGCTTCTTCTGCTGCCAACTGGGCAGGCACTTAATGTGCCAAGAGTCTCTGGAATGGCAACAGAAAAATGTCCCAAGAAAGGCCACATCTGGTTGACATGGCCTGGCACAGACAGTGGCAGAGTAAGCAGAGGGAACCTTGTGGAAATCTAAACTCCTTACTCCTAGAGGTCTCTCCAGCCTGTGCCTGAAATCCCACCTTTAAAGGGACTTCCTTACCCATGGGTGGTGGTGCCTGCCTGTAGTCCCAGCTACTTGGGCAGCTGAAGCGGAAGATCTCTTGAGCCCAGGGGGTCAAGGCTGCAGTGAGCCGTGATTGTGCCACTGGGCTCCAACCTGGGCAACAGAGTGAGACACCGACTCAAAAATAAATACTGTAAATAAATGAAGAGACTTCCCCTTCCCATGTTAAGATTGGAAAGCAGAGGGTCACAGAAGGTTAGGGGCTTAAGTTCACTGGTGAATTTGTACCCAGTTGGACCCAGCGGATTTCTGGTCCACACAATTTCTACTATAACAGTTGCTCTTACAGCATCTCCTTTTCCTTGACTAAATTATCCCACGAACCCAAACTAGATTGAGCTCTTTGTTTGCTACAGCGATGAGTGCACAGTCAGCAGACAGTAAACGTTAAATGATAATAACAGTGTGTGAAACACAGTAAATATTGAATCACAGAGAATAACTCTGGACTTACTCTATTACAAAGAAAAGAAACTGTTGCTAGAGGAGGGAGAAAGAGGGCATGAGACATCAGAGAGAAAACTGCTTTAGCAGAAGCAGAAGGCCTTGATCATTCATTCATTCACTCATTCAAGCATTTGCTTATTTATTCAACCTTCTTCTTAAGAACCCACTCATTGTTGTTTCTTTTGAGTTAGGGTCTCACTCTGTCACTCAGGCTGGAATGCAATGGCATGATCACAATTGATCACAGCACATGGCAGCCTTGACCTCCTGGACTTACGTCATCCATCCACCTCAATATCCCGAGTAGCTGGAACTACAGATGTGCAACACCACATATGGCTAATTTTTTAAATTTTTTATTGTGGTAGAGATGAGGTTTTATTATGTTTCCCAGGCTGCTCTCGAACTTCTAGGCTCAAGCAATCTGCCCGCCTCAGTCTCCCAAAGGGCTGGGATTACAGATATAAGCCACCGCACCCAACCTAGTACCTACTCAATTTTAGGTAGTTTAATATGGAGTCAAATGAGACATAATCTTACCTTCAGGGAACTCAGTCTTTAGTAGCAGAAATTCCACCCAGCCTGCTGTCCTCCCACCCCCATCATGTCACTGCCCAAACACATGTGCACTCTCCATTTAACATGACCCAGGAGAACGTGCATGATCTGGCCTACCTCTCACCATTGCTCCTTCATCACATACTCCAGTCCTGCAGCATTCACAACTGTTCCACAAATGGGCCAGACTCCCAATTATATCAGGGCATAAGTACTTCCTATCCAATCTCCCTAGAACTCTCTTCCCAGAGCTTTCAGCATTTGTCTCTTGGTCCAAATGATATCTACTCAGAGAGGCTGTGCCTATCAACTCTAGTTGAAGTGCCCCTCTCCACACATAGCTAATCTCTATTATATCCTTTTTATAAAAATTTT